AGGGTCAGAGGGAGAAGCAGACTCCCCGCTGAGCAGGGAGCCCGATGCGGGACTCGATCCCGGGACTCCAGGATCATGACCTGAGCCGAAGGCAGTCACTTAACCAACTGAGCCACCCAGGCGCCCCTCTTCTTTTTTTGTTTTGCAGCCCATATGGCAGCTCTGTACTGGTGAGCTAAAACAGAGTAGCTAATAAACTTTGGCTAAGTTGTCTGAAATAAACCCGTTTCAAAGAAAAAACAAGCCCCAGGAAAACATACAGTAATTGTCAAATTGGCTTCTTTATCTTTTAAGTATTTTTATTTTACAAGGTTAATGGTTAGGCCTGTGAAATTATTTTCAGATCTTTGAAAAGTGACTTAATAGTCAAAACGTGTGCAGTGGGAACCACTGCATTCCTAAGGAGTTTAATTCATTAGTCTGCTCTTAAAGCCGCAGGGGTGAGTAAATAAAGTTTAAGAAGAAAGTGACAAAAAACAGGGCAACCAGATCTTTTCTGGTGTTGCTGTTTAAACATCATTACAAAGAGAAACTTAAAATATAGACTTCTGGTTATAGGGTTGGTGGTTTCAATTTGTTCTTTGACTTTGACCAGAAAACTTATTAAAAAGGTTCAAAAGTTAAAAAAATCTAGGCTTTGAAATCTTTCCGAAAATTGACTCAGATTAGTAACTATTTTTATTGAATTTTCATTGAATTCCTTCCATTTTAATAAGTAGGCTTTATAATAATAAGTATATTACATATTACCCGCTGGCCTATTCTGTTTATGCAGTAAAATCTCAATAATTGTAACCTAGTAGGGACATTGTTTAAGATACACGTTCTTTTCCAGGTGCAGTATTAGTAATATACATACGTTAGGATGCTTGTCGATGTGCTCTTGCCTTTTTGCATGAATGAGTACTGTTTTGGTGGGCATGTTTCTTTTGTGATGCACTGGAACAAAAGTTTTGATTTTTGGGTATTTCATATCCTGAATTAATAGAACACTTCTCCTTCTTAGGTCCTAACATTTGGCTAGAGTATGGCCAGTACTCAGTCGGTGGAATTGGTCAGAAAGGTGGCCTTGAGAAAGTCCGCTCTGTGTTTGAAAGGGCGCTCTCGTCAGTTGGCTTACATATGACCAAAGGACTCGCCATCTGGGAGGCTTACCGGGAGTTTGAAAGTGCCATTGTGGAAGCTGCCCGGGTGAGTGCCCCGGTCTCTGTGACCGGTGCTTGCCTTTGAGTAGTCGGGGCTATCTTTGTAAGTGGCCTTGGAAGAACACAGTTAACAAAATCATCCTCACCAGTCCCTTAGTGGGTGGGCAGAAAGTAAAATCAGTAGTCTTTGTGGAACAGCAAAATTGATTTCTTTGACTCAAAGATAACCCTGTAATTTTTCTGATATTTAAAAATACTATTTCAATGACTGGTTCCAGGTGAATATACAAGAATAACTACGTCACTCAAAAAGAATACATACATATGTATATCAGTCATGTCCATTAATAACTGCAAGAGATAAGAGATTTGACCCCATCATGACTGGATTTTTTAAAACTCTGACTCAAGGATTTTACAGTCCCTTCCCAGTGTGCCACTCCCCTCCCCGCCCCGTGTTTGTGTGAGTTACCCTTGGTACCTAGTGGATGGAGCCCTGCAGTAGTAGTTAGATGATTATTAGTAAAGTAGCCCAGGCCCTTGTTGATTACATCCCTGTTGAAAAGTCTGCAGTGGTGCCTTCAGCGTATGCCGACAGGCATCGGGGCGAACTCCTTCGGCTGACATTTGTGGCCCTCTAGCATCGGACATAACCCTGCCCCCCTCCACAGTCGTGCACTTGCTGGCTTCTGTACTGAATACTGTTCCTTCGACTGGGAGTCCGTTTCCTCCTCTCACGATGTCGGGAGAGCCTGCAGATGTACCCCAAATGCCAGCTCCTGTGGGCATCTTGCCTCATTTCCTCCCTTCGTAACAAAACGCAGCCTTAAAAACCGGCTGAAAGCACGGTCCTTGGCTACTTGTGATCCTTTCTTTCGTGATGTTTATATTCTGCTTCATTGTAGTCATCTGTGCATTTATGGTCAATATACACATTTCTTAGGTTCCTATTTGCTTTTCACCCCATCATAAACAGTAGCAGAGGCAATGTTTATTTTTGTGCCTCGTGCAGCATTTGAGACAATACCTTATGTATCAGAGGTCATATATATATATATATTTATTTATTTTTAGTTTGAACTAAAAAATTGGTTGAAATATTTTTTGAAGTAGGAAGGACCACAAAGTTTGTCATTTACTACAGATTTGCTTCTTTAGCCCATAGCTGGCTTCCTTTCCCCTTTTGACCGGGAACAAACCTTTGATTCACAGCTGGAGAAAGTCCACAGTCTCTTCCGGCGACAGCTGGCGATCCCACTCTATGGTAAGAGAAACTGACCTGTCGACAGCTGGCCCTGCGTGGTTTTTAAAATGCTTTGGGGTATGTCCTGTCATTAGGTCTTTCCCAGCATCCTGTGAGGCAGATGTTGCTGGTGTTCTTACTCTCACTGGACAGTGTCACTGTGGACAAGGCCCTTGGTAAAAACATACCTTGAATTGTTAAAGGTCAAGAGGATTGAGGGTCAGCCAGCAGGACTAGAAGCCAGACTTGCTGACTCTCAGTTTCCTCTTTTAAGACACTGTTGGAGAGGTAGAGTTACTAGAAGGAATAGGGAAGCTGACTGCCTATATTTTCGGGGAAAACTTTATTGAGTAAGAGTTCCATTGTGAGCATTTTCTCTTTAGCAGTAGCCTCTTCCGTATCAGAATGGGATTTTCCACAGGCTTATATCATTCTGTGGGGGTGATTTGGTTGAGGAGCACTGTTGATTGGAAGTGTTCATATCTGAATTTCTTTTTTAGACGTAGTTATACATTGTACACCCTTGGCTCCTCTGGACAACTGCTTGAGCCCAGACGTAATTTCTCTTTTTACTTTGTGGTTTATTTGGATTTGATTTAACAAATTATAAAGTGGCTTTCCAGTTGAATCCTCGGGTGACATGCAGAAAGGCTGGAACTGAGCGGCCTGCAGGTTTCCTCTCATGTACCAATGTGACGTGGCATAGTACAGTGAGTAGAGCATGTACTTGAGCCAGACTGCCTGGTTCAAGGCCTTGCTCTACTGTGAACTGCAAAAATTGATGTAACCCTCTACTTGTGTTTCCTCAACTGCAAAATGGGGATCAAGTTAGAACCTACTCTGTAGAGTTGGGAGAATCGAATGAGTTAGTGGATGGAAAGTGTTAGAACATAGGAAGCACTAGGTAAGTTTTGCTATTATTAACTGATTGATTAATTGGTAGGGCTTCCGGGGGAATTGCTTTGAGACAGAATCTAAGGTCAGACCTGGGCCCAGTGGAAGATTTGAACATAAGAGTTGCTGTGGTCACTGATGCAGGAGGGGCTAGAATCATCCGAGTCTCATGGTTTAATCTCTGGGTTGATAAAACTCAATGGGAAGACCTACGGGGCTGAATCCATCTTTCAATAGATATGGAGGCCACATTTGCAGAGTATGAAGAGTGGTCAGAAGACCCAATACCAGAGTCGGTGATTCAGAACTATAACAAAGCACTACAGCAGTTGGAGAGATACAAACCCTATGAAGAAGCACTGGTAAGTGTTGGCCTCTTTACAGTAAACTTCTTGCTGCAAATTTTTCCCTAATCAGTAGTTGCATCTTTAAAATTTGTTTTGTTGTGAAATCTATAGAGTGTATAAATGTGTGCGTACAGTTTACATACTAATAATAAAGTGAACATCCATGTACCCACCACCCAGGTTAAGAAATAGAACATTGCCAGTACCTTAGAAGTCTCCTATGTGCCCCTCTCCGATTGCCTCCTCTTCCCTCTCCCGAGAGGTAATCACTTTCCTGACTTTTGTGATAATCGTTCCCTTGCTTTTCTTTATAGTTTTACAATCTATGACCATATCCTTGATTAATATATTGTTTAATTTTGCTTGTCTTTGAGCTTTTATATAATGGAATCATGCTGTGTATTTCACTGAACATGTTCTTGGGTTGTAGTCACGTTGATAAGTATAGTCTGTTTCCGTGGCTGTGAAATTGTATGTGTATGCCACAGTTTATATATCTGTGTTCCTGGCTGGGTCGTTTTCCAGTTTGTTGCGAGGAGGAGCAGCATGTTTCTGGCCGTTCTTGTGCGTGTCTCTTGGTGCACATATGAAAAGGGTTTCTCCAGAGTGTATCCCTAGGAGGAATTGCTGGATCATAGGATCGTGCTGAACTGTTTTCTGTGTTACCAATTGACATTCCTGCCCAGGAGTTCTCACTGAACTGAGGGTTCTCCTTGGTCTCGCCAGCTTCGATACTGACATAAATTTTAGCCGCTCTGATGGATCTGAAATTGTAGTTTTAATCTGCATTTCCCTGATTACTAACAAAGTTGAGTGTTTTTTCACATCTGTTTGGCCATTCAGATTTCCTTTTTTGTGAGGTGCCTGTTGAAGTCTTTGACTCATTTTTCCTTCATCTGTATTTTTTTCTAATTAATTCATAGGAATCCTGGATCTTAATCCTTATTTTGGTTGTATGTATTGCAGAAGCTTCCCCCAGGTTTGTGGTTTGTCTTTTTAGTTTTTTAGTGGCATCTTTTGATGAGCAGTTCTCAGTCTTATTCTGTCATTATTTAACATTCTTTCTCTTATGGTTCCTGCCTTTGTTACACTTAAGAAATCTCTCCAGGTTCCAAACTCATGAATATTCTTAGCTCTGTTTTCTTCTGAAAGTTTATAGCTGTGTATTTCATGTTTAGATCTTCATATGGAATTGATTTTTGTGTATGGCGTGAGGTGGGGTCCAGTTTCATTTTTCCATACAAGAAGCAGTTGTTCCAGCACCGATTCTGATAATTCCATCCTCCCCTCATTGATGTGCCGGCCCACATCTGTCAGAGATTAGCTGTCCATTGGGGTGTGGATCTATTTCTGGGCTTTCTGTTCTGCTCCACTGGCTTATATTACACTGTTCTAATAATGATAGTTTCATAAGTTTTGCTCTTAGGTAACATGAATCCCATCCGTGTTGTTCCTCTTCAAGAGTGTCTTCTCTTTCTTTAGCTCTTAATACTTGGATTTGGAGTCAGCTTTTCAGGTTGTATTTAAAAACCTGTTGAATTTTGTATTGGAATTGCATTGATCAGTTTGGGGAAGAATAGACATCTTAGAAATATTGAGTCTTCCAGTCTTGAACGTGGTATAGGCCTTTGCTATTTAGGCCTTATCTTTCTGTAAAGTTTTATAAATTTATAATTTCATCTGGTCCCTTGAACACATTCTTTAGATTTGTTTCTAAGTTATTTTTGATCCTATTGAAAATGCCACCTTTTTAAAAGATTTGCTTTTCTAATTGTCCTTGGCATATAAATTGTAATTTGTTTTTTATACTAATTTTTTTGTCTTTTGAACTTTCTAAATTCTTAACGACAAATAGATTCTTTTGGATTTTCCGTGTTGACCATAATATTTGTTTTTTGACCATAATATTGTTTGTAAGTGGCATTTTTCTACCTCTCTTCGTCTTAGAATACTTTCAACTTCATTTACCATGCCTCAGAGTTACACTCGTGTTTTCTTGTATTTCTTGCCTTTCTGTTTGACCTGAAAGGCATTGTTGTTATCTTGCATTGTACAGCTCCAATTTGCTTACATTCACTACATGCATTTCCCACTGCCTTTGCTCTTCTTTACTTGCATCCTGGAGCTTTCATCTGGAATCATTTTTATTTTGCTTCAGTTACACCCTTTAGAGTCTCCTGCACTGGGTATTTGCTGGTAACAGATTTTCTCAGTTTTATTTTGAAAAGGTCTTCACTTTGCTCTTCTTAAAAGTTCATTTCTCAGGATGTAGAATTCTAGATTGACAGTTATGTCTCCTGTCTTTCTGGCTTCTGTTGTTGCTGTTGAGACATCAGCTTCTTTGATGGCAATCCTTGTTTTCTCTCTGGCCCATTTTAAAATCTCACTGGTTTTGTTTGATGTCCCATAATTTCAGTACAGTAGGTCCAGGGGTGGATATCTTTGCATTTATCTTTTTCGTGGTTGATTGGGCTTCTTGGCTCTCTTTTTGGTATCTTGTTTTATAGTAAGAACAGTGACTTTGAGAGCCAGGCTGCTTCAAGTTTGGATGTTAGCTCTGCCAGTTTCATCCTTAGCCGCCGTGTGTATCAATCACCTCAGATGTAAGGTGAGGATAATAATGACACCTCACTGTGAAGATTAAATCCTTAATAGATCTTATACCAGCAAAAGCTTAACCTTCACCTAGATTTTGTCCTTAGTATTTCTTGTGTCTTTGCCAGTTTTCTGATGATTTTCAAGACTTTTTTCGTACTGAATCCAGCAAGTTTTAGTTTTCAGTGGCAGTCTGTCTGGTTAACCAGTTTGTCAGTATAACTAGAAACTGAGACTAAGACGTCATCTTCTGCTCGGAGCATGCGTGCTCTCCTGCTGGCCAGCCAGTGCTTCCTCTCCCTTTTCCATGTGAAAATGGTTGGTATGCAGTTGTATTTCTCAAAGCCTCATTAATGAAATCCTCAACTGGTTCATTTTGTTACGACCGTTGGTGAAGTGTGGCTGAAAAGGAAAGTTGAGTAGGGGTTTTTGTCTGAAAAGAATTTTGATTGTAGGTCTTTGGATCAGTAAACATTCAGCCTAGCCTTTTTCATGTTCTGCATGTACCTGTATGCTGGCAGGAGCTGATATTTGGAATGGGAAGCCTTAGAATGAAGGCAGCGAATCACTCCAGTGTGGTTGCATTCACTCCACTCAGTAGGCTGAGAAAGTGACTTCTGTTTTGGAGGGATGGCTGGCCATGGTCACTGGCAAAGGTGTTTCTCTTTCATTCAGTTTCTGATGGATGCTCCCATCAGAAACCCCCTGTGGCCTAAGGAAGGGTTTGGAAAAGGGTTTATGGAGCCTTTGTAACTGTTGCCATGAAGAGGCACTGTGGACTCTTACTCTGCCTGTCATGTTGTAGACCCTGGCATGCCAGAGGTTCTGAGAGTGGGGACTGGGGATTCTTACACATCAGTCTTGCCAGAATTTAATATGAAGATATGTTGTGCTTCCTAACAGTGTCAAGTAGCTCATTTCAACCTCATTATGCTTCCCCTCTGCCTTAGTTGCAAGCAGAGGCACCTAGGCTGGCTGAATATCAAGCGTACATCGATTTTGAGATGAAAATTGGTGACCCTGCTCGCGTGCAGTTGATCTTCGAGCGTGCCCTGGTCGAGAACTGCCTTGTCCCAGACTTGTGGATCCGCTACAGTCAGTACCTAGTAAGACCACTTGACTGTTCTAACTTCTCTCCTTTTTACCAATTGAGAACCTGTTCAAAGAAAATCAGCAGGAGTGCCAGGGGTTAGTTGTGTGCTCTCTCTGCTTCCTCATTTTCCCCTCATCCTCCTTTCCCCTCTGCCAACTCACTCAGGGAGTTCTTCTGGTGTTTCACGTCATTTCCAACTGATCGCTAACTGTAAAAAAATTTGCACGGTCTTCTTACTGAGGACTTCGTGACAGATTAATTTTTTTTTCTTGTAACTTTTCATTATGGGAAAAAATGTAAGCACTAGTATATAGATTAGTAGGGTGAAACCTTGTGGGCCTATCACCCAGCTCCAACAATTAACTCACGGCACTAGTCTAGTTTCATCTATATCCTTAACCTTCTTCCTCTTCCATCTGATTTTGAAGCAGATCCAGAAATCACATTTCATTGGTAAATATTTCAGTACATATATGTAAAAGATCTGAATCTGGATCCAGACTAGGTCCATCCATTAGGATTGGCTGATGTCTCTTAAGCTGTTTTCATCTATAGGTTCCCTCTCTACCTCTCCTCTTCTACCCCAACTCCCCCTTGCAATTTCTTTGTTGAAGAAACCAGTCACGAGAGGCATTTCTAAGGAAATTTCTTTTGTCAGCTGGTTGTGCTGGAAATGTCTCTCGTGGATGGTAAAGTCTGTAACGGTAGCATTTTATCTCCTAACTCTGGACTTCTTTATCATAGGATCGGCAGCTGAAAGTAAAGGATTTGGTTTTATCTGTACATAATCGTGCTGTTAGAAACTGCCCGTGGACAGTTGCCCTATGGAGTCGTTACCTCTTGGCCATGGAAAGACATGGAGTTGACCATCGAGTGATTTCTGGTGCGAATGTTTTTGGGGGAAGACTCTTAAGCTTTCTGCCCCAGGCCAGAAACCTAGTGCTGTGACTGACAGTCATTAAATCAGCCTTTCCCTGGGTGTTAGCTTTGGGACATTGGGTGTTAGTGACAGAAAAGGCCCTAAGTGGGAGATAAACTGGTTTTAAGCTTTTAACATGCTAACATTCATTGTGATTTTCTGAGAAGTTGGGGTCTTTTCTCCAAACTTACTGATCTGGAATTCTTTTAGTGCAGGGCATCTTGTGGAACATGCCCTTTCTAGAACACAGTTTGTGCAAATCCTGGAGGAGCTTTTCTTTTGAACATTTCTCTCTAGCTCATTTACTTTGTTGCTTCCTGTCATTAAGTCATATAGTATTTGATAGTCAGTAGAGGTTTTTATAACCATCTTGATAATTTATATTAACTTTCTTTTCAATTGGTAACAAATCCTGGCTTGTTCTTCAATTCCAGTGACCTTTGAGAAAGCTTTGAGTGCTGGCTTCATTCAGGCCACTGATTATGTGGAGATTTGGCAGGCGTACCTTGATTACCTGAGGAGAAGGGTTGATTTCAAACAAGGTATTTAAATTCACATGTCAAATTCAGTTCTGAATTTTTCCTAACATGTCTTTCAGTGAGATGTCCCACTTGCCCAAATAACATCATGATTAGGCACATGATGTAGACCAGCCATTGGCAACTGTTTTCCCCCAGAAATTTTCGCTACTTAAATCCTTAAGTCCTGCTGTGAATTGTAAGGGAAGAGACTTAGGGTCCTTATGTTCTATACCGGCTCCTGCCAGCACTGTCCATAATGTGCTGTTTGTTCCAGTGTCTTTCTCTGCAACTGCGTGATGGGGCAGGACTGGCAGTTTTATTTCTGTGTCCCAGGCATGATGCCAGGTGCATAGCAGGCTCCCAGGAGTTTCACTGTAGGATTTAAAAAAAATAAAAAAGACATGGTATGCGGTTTCATGAAGCCGAATCTCTCTTGCAACTTCTAACAGACTCCAGTAAAGAGCTGGAAGAGCTGAGGTCTGCATTCAGTCGCGCCTTGGAGTATCTGAAACAGGAGGTCGAGGAGCGTAAGTGTGGCTTCACCCACTCCTTGATGCACTTGTCTTTCCTCTTCTTGGTGGATGTGCCTTCTCGGTCAGAGGCTCTTTGTCTCTAAATTCTTTTCTAATTTTGACTAATTCTGTTCTTACAGGTTTCAATGAGAGCGGAGATCCAAGCTGTATGATCATGCAGAACTGGGCTAGGATCGAGGTAAGTGTTTTTGATGGACCTGCCAGTGACATCCACCTTTGAAGGACCTGTGTGTAATGGATGTGGCTGATGTTGAGTCAGAATCCTAGGTGATGGTCTAGGGTCTGTAAGGATTTGTGCTCTATATCTAGCTTGATGCACATTCATCTGTATCTTAGAGAAAACACTAGCACTCAGTAAGAAGTTACGCAGCAAATGTCAGAATGCCAGGAGTTCACTCATGGACTTCTGCCCACCTCCCTTTGGTGCCTGGTTCGTGAGAGTAACCGGGGTGTGTACCATCTGCCAGGCATTTTACTGTGTGCCAGGGAAATTAGGTAGACCTGCTTTATGCTCCCAAGTCTTTGATCTCGTGTGGAGACAGAAATTTGACGGATAATTAGGGGATATAATGAGTTGAATGTTATGTCGGACCAAGGACCTCAAGTGAGTAAGGTATGGAACTTGCCCTTGATCAGCTCACAAAATTGTGAAATTCTAATCCTGTTTTATTTTCTGAGGGGAGTCAGGTCAAAGCACCAATATCTGTTAGGTTCAGAGAGGTTCACTTGCCCAAGTCACTTAATAAATGGCAGAGCGGGGACCTACTTCTAGATCAGTCTTTTCTCCGCATTGTGCCTCAGATTAAACGCTTGTAGTTAAGCTTGATAAAAATAAAAAACAAGTGACTAGCCAGTTCTGTTGTAAGTACCTGTGGGCTCCTGCTCTTTGCACTCCAGTAGCGTAGGCAGACAGCTTGATGCTTGTCACCTCCGAAAGCCTGAAGTGGTTGAGCTGGGCCTGTTGCTGTGGACGGTGGCTGGGAAATGTCCAGGGAGTTAGGGAACATGGATCGTCAGTGGGGGGGTTTTAAGGCATGTCTGTTCGAAGTATGCTTTGTAATGGGTGCCAGTGTCCTAAGGTTTGAGTCTTTCCTAACGGAGCCTGTTAATGCATTTTAGGCTCGACTGTGCAATAATATGCAGAAAGCTCGGGAACTCTGGGACAGCATCATGACCAAAGGGAATGCCAAGTATGCCAACATGTGGCTCGAGTATTACAACCTGGAAAGGTAACCGGCCTGGGGGCGGGGTTGGCAGTGCCTGTTGGGGGTAAGCCATCTTCAGTCGCACTGACCCCTGCCGGCCTGGGCTTGCTCCTCACCACAGGCCGCCGCCGGCCTCCCGTCCTTCGCTAGTGGCTTTGTGTGTACTAGGAGAGGCTAGGGGACTAAGCCTAGTAATTTGTGCCCGGCCTTGTCGCACAGCCATACGTTTCTTTCCATTTGTTATTTTGGTTTGTTTTGATTTTTGGATCTGAGGGTTTTATTTGACTTTTTGGGGAACTATTTATTTTTTGTATTTGTTTTGTATGTAAAAGTGGAAAGTATTAAAAAGTGAAGAGAAAAACCCCAAATTATCTGCAGCGACAGACCCCCCGGAGACATAACCCCTATTAGCTAATGGTTTGGGTATATTCTTTGAGATTTTTCTATGCTTAATTTTTTTTTTTTAAAGAAAATGCAATGATATAGTTTACATGTTACAAATCTCTAAAACTATTTTAAGTAAATATGACCAATAATATTTATAACATGGGGAAGATGCAAAGAATATGACCAGCTTTTCTATTCATTGTATCTTGAACACTGCATCTCAATAAATACATTTTTATATACTTTTTTCTTTTTTGAATGTTTCGGTTTTTTCCCCAATTTAAAAAATAACACTGTGCTCAAATTAAGATAGAACATTTGCCAAACTATGTGGTAGAGAGTGAAAGTTTATTACCATCTCACCCATAGAGATGACCACTATGAAAGCTTCTTGAGGGGGCACCTGGGTGGCTCAGTCAGTTAAGCGTCTGCCTTCAACTCAGGTCATGATCACAGGGTCCTGGGTTCTCTGCTTGGCGGGGAGCCTGCTTCTCCCTCTGCCTGCCGCTCCCCCTGCTTGTGCTCTCTCTCTCTCTCTCTGTCAAATCAATAAATAAAATCTTTAAAAAAAAATAAAAGCTTCTTGAATATTCCTCTGAGGTCAGCAGTTCTCAAACTTTTTGGTCTCAGGACCCCTTATACTCTTTAAAGTATGAGAACCCTGAAAAGCTTTTGTTTATGTGAGTTGTATGTATTTAATATTACCATATTAGCAACATTGATAAATATTAATATCAATGTCACCATATTAGAAAACTGAGAAATTAAAAAATTATTTAATTGTCAAAATAATAAATTCATTACATTTAACATAAAGAATATATTTTTTATGAAAAATGACTTTTCCAAACCCCAAAATAATTTAGTGAGAAAAGTGGCATGGTTTTGTATTTTTACAAGTGTCTTTGAAGTCTGGCTTAGAGGACAGCTGGATTCTGGTGTCTGTTTCTGCATTCACTGTGTTGTGAATTCTCATTGAAGAATATGAAGAAAATTTGGCTTCACACAGGAGGTTAGAAGGAAGGGGAATTTAACCTTTTCAGATAATTGTGGATATTCTTTCATAGTAGAGCAAAATTCAACAAGTGGTAGTTTCTTAAATAGTTGCAGTGTGGAATCTGAAACCATTTATCATTGAATTTCTCGGACTCTTACATTAATATCCATTGGTCTGTTTTGTACTTTGCATAGACCTTTTACCCACATGTGAATCTGTGACATGCATTGTTCATTTGGAGAATACTCATTCACTAAGTCATGCAGCTCTTCTCAGTATCGACACATTTCATCATACAATATTTAAAAAATCACATTTGGGGGCGCCTGGGTGGCTCAGTCGTTAAGCGTCTGCCTTTGGCTTGGGTTGTGATCCCAGGGTCCTAGGATCGAGCCCTGCGTCGGGCTCCCTGCTCCGTGGGAAGCCTGCTTCTCCCTCTCCCACACCCCCTGCTTGTGTTCCCTCTCTGGCTGTGTCTCTCTCTGTCAAATAAATAAATAAAATCTTAAAAAAAAAAAAAAATCACATTTGTTCATATCTTAGTGATCTTAGTAGGAAAATTTTTTTTTTTTTTAGATTTATTTATTAGAGTGTGTGTGTACGCAAGTGGGAGGTGCAGAGGGAGAGGAAGAGAGCATCTCAGGCAGACTCCCCACTGAGCATGGAGCCTGACCCAGGTTGGGGTGGGGCTCGATCCCACGACTCTTAAGATCCTGACCTGGGCTGAAACCAAGAGTTGGACATTTCAACCGACTGAGCCACCCAGGCACCCCAGTAGAAAAAGTCTTTTAAGTAGGAAGCTGTCAAACTCAAAGTGGCAGATACAAATTTTCCAAAATTCTGATTTTCACTTAAAAGCTGCCATTTTATCCTGGCACCAAATACAGCCAGGGGGTTTCCTTGAAGTGACGGACTTCCTTCATTAGTTTTCAAAAATGTCTCCAGATACTCAGGTCTCTGTAACCACAGTTTTTGTCACTCAGCTATTTTCTCAAGTAAAAATGGTGTTCCAGGAAAAAACAAACTAGTTCAGCTTGCACCCCAAACAAAAAGATAGGCTTTTCTTTGTGACAGCCATTGCTTTATGTGTATATCTGCTTATGTCGCACAGAATTTGAGAAGTATGTGTGTAGCCCTGATCACTGCTAAGGGCTACCGCAGCTTTTATGCCATCAGTGCAAGATGTCAACACAGTGAAAAAGTCAATTCGTGTTCAATAATAAAGTAGTTTTGACTTTGCAGATCACCTGAAAGGTCTTAAGAGACCTTCAGGGGTACATGGATCATACTCTGAGAACCGCTGCTATAAGTTTTTTTCCAGTGTTCTAACCTGTATTTGTAATATTTATGTATATTTATAAGTTATTTTTAAATAGAAATGGAACATAGCATTTCATAACTGTTATTAGTAAGACAACGTTGTTTTTAATTACTATGATTAGCGGTGTATCTTTCCATATGAGTATCAGAATGTATGACTCTGGGCATGAAATCTGACCGTCCTCTGGATTGGGTGATTCTCCTGTTGGATAGGACAGCATCCCGGAATTTCTCTAAGGATTTGATCAAGTTAGTGTAGCATTCTTAGATTCCCCACCTGTGTGGCAGATGCCAGCGCTATAAAGGCGGGACACCTGATTGCAGACTACTGTCCCAGATAGTAGCATTTTCTAGTAGCATCTCCTTGCTAATGGAAAGAGTGACTTAGAAGAAAGCCTTAGTGTTGACTGGAGGAAAAAGGAGAAAACATTGTAAGTAGCAATAGTACAAATAGCTGTGGATAGTTCTGGAAGCCAGAGTCGCCGCAGAGCTTCTGATCTTGTGCCCCTGCCTTTGCGTGCCTTCTGCTTTGTGTCCTGGTGGCAGCAATGGTTTGTTTTCTGTCCTAGGGCACACGGTGACACCCAGCACTGTAGAAAGGCCCTGCACCGGGCTGTCCAGTGCACCAGCGACTACCCGGAGCACGTCTGTGAAGTGTTGCTCACCATGGAGAGGACAGAAGGTGGGGACCCTCAGCTCTCTGCTGCTGGATTGGAGTCTGTCCCCTCCACCCTTTGGTCTCAGGACTATAGTCTGTGAGGACAGACTGTGGCACTCTGTGATTAGAACTGTCACGTGAGCCCACATCCCCTTGCCCCTCTCCTCAGAGTCTCCAAATACAAGGAGGGCTCTCTGTGACGTGGCTCTGACACAGGGTTCTCTTCATTCTTTGTGGTGGATGCTATTCTGTCACTCGCTGGGTACCAATAGCACTCCTCCCTTGCCCCCAGTCATGACAGAAACATCTTCAGACTTGTTGCCTGGGGATCCAGATCGCTCTAGTTGAGAATCTGTGCTCTGGCACAGTGTCATGCACACCAAAGGCACGCTGAGAGGCAAAGGGCTCAGTGTGGGCATTGGTCGTGTGTGCATCCCTTGTAAATTTTAGAGCCTCAGTATTAAGTCATCAGTAGGGAAATAGTGAATTTATCCGTGGGCATTGATCTGGATTTTAGGTGTAGACTCCTCAGAACTGGAAATAAAACACCCAAGCAACAACAGCAAATAAAAAACACCCCAACGTTTATCATTTGAGCAGCTCTTAAAATCCTCAGTCTTCACATAGATGTCTTGTACCTTTTACATTAGAATGTCTTCATAATCTTCCCTAATGAGAGTAATAGGTCATATTCTGGTTTTCAGGTCTTTTTTAAAAAGGATTTTTTTAAAACTTGTTTTAAGACTTAATAATTATTTACTTACTTTAGAGAGAGTGAGCGAGCACGTGTGGAGCACGCTTGAGCAGGGGGAAGGGGCAGAGGGAGCGATGCCAGAGCTCGATCCCAGGACGCTGAGATCATGACCTGAGCCGAAATCGGGAGTTGGACGCTCAACTGACTGAGCCACCCAGATGCCCCAGGAGAAGGGATGTTTTAAATACACCTAGAAGGGGGCGCCTGGGTGGCTCAGTCGGTTAGGCGTCTGCCTGCTGCCTTCAGCTCAGGGCATGATCCTGGGTTCCTGGGATCGAGCCCCGTGTTCTCCCTGCTCAGCAGGGAGTTTCCTCTCCCACGCCCTCTGCCCCTCCCCCTCTGCTCATGCTTTGTCTCTCACTTTTTCTCTGAAATAAATAAATAAAACCTTAAAAAAAAATAAACACACCTGGAAGAACTGTTCAAATTCTAAAAAATTCAAGCCTACAGTAAGGAAATCTGAAAATGGAGAGCCAACTCTCCAGTTCTTATTTCTCATGGGAGAGATCTCTTGTGGGGGTGTGGGGGAAATTAAGAAAATTTCATATTATTCAATCCTTTAAAATTCTAAAAAGTGACAGTTTGCTTCTGTTTCTATTAAGGTACCCTAGAAGATTGGGATATAGCTGTTCAGAAAACCGAAACTCGATTAGCTCGTGTTAATGAGCAGAGAATTAAGGTAATGATGCTATTAAAGTCTTCAGAAGCTCTGCTAGCTATTTTGATTGTGTTTGGTATGAATATTTCTTGTCAAAACCTCTGAGGTCTTCCTAAGTAGTATCTTTCACTCAGAAAATATTAGTGACATACTTGAATCAGTATATTTAAGCCTGTCTTGTATCATTTTCTTGGATTGGCTTAGAACTTTAGCCCTGACAATAAAAACTTTATGTAGTTGGGGACTTTGGGACCTAAAGTTTACTGGGATATAGATGGGAAAGCTAAGAATGGAGCCTCACTTAGCCCCGTGAGTGGAAGGTAAACACATCCAAATTAATTAGAGCCCCAGTTTTATACTTTGTTTTCTTTCTTTTGGTGAGTGATTACTGGGGATGTTGCAGAACATTCTGTAGATGTGAGATTCAGAATTCTAAGAAGCCTGAATAAGCCCTGGCAGGGAAAGTTGTGAGCACGCCCTCCTCCTCCTCCTTGTGACCTCTCCTTTCCCCGGGGTAGCGAATTTCCACTCCCTGCATCCCCTTTCCTCTCCACTTGTCCTGGGCCCATAGAGTTCCCGCAGTTGCTGCGTCCTAGTGATGTGTCCATGTTCCCATCCCAGGCTGCGGAGAAGGAAGCAGCCCTTGCTCAGCAAGAAGAAGAAAAGGCCGAACAGCGGAAGAGAGCGCGGGCCGAGAAGAAAGCATTGAAAAAGAAGAAAAAGACCCGAGGCGCAGACAAGCGCAAAGCAGAAGAGGACGATGAGAAGGAGTGGGGCGATGATGAAGAAGGTAGCGCTTTCTGGAAATGTTATTTGGGAACATCTATAACTTCCAGAGAAGTTACAGACACCGTACAGAGAACTTGTGTCTTGAACCAGCTGAGAATAAGTTGCTCGCATGGTGCCCCGTCACCCTTCCTGTCCCTGCCCATCGTCCACATGGGCATACTCCTCCCCGTGCGAGCCCGGCACTGCCCTGCAGCCACTCCCGCGTGTCCACCTGGGCTCTACTCCCTCCACTGTGCCATTGCCCCCTCTGCCTGCCCCCTGTGTGGTTCCCCTTCACCCTGCTCGGGCTCCCACAGACCGCTGACCCTGTCCCTGCCCTTCATCCCCTCAGGCTGCAGCATCCCACCCTGCAGCCTGCACGGACACCTGTCTCGCTCGGCCCGCCGGGTGGTTTTGACTCGGTGGAGTTTCCAGCTAGGGCTTCTCTTGCCCCTGCCATTTCAGGGGTGGGCAGGTGTGGGTCAGATTTATTTCAGCAGGGTCCGGCAAGGGAAAGAACTGTTTGTAGACATTCAAAGACTCCATGCGTTTTCCTAGTACAAAGGTGTCAAACAGAGGGACCTTTCTTGTGCACTTTTTTGAGGCCGTCAGAAATGACCATGGCTGGGTAGCTCGCTGGCCTTCGGGGCTCCAGGTTTAGCAGGGAAGGCAGATGTGACATGTGACCACAGTGGCATATGATTGGGACTGTGGGAGAGGACAGTCTGGATTAATAGTGGAGGCCAGAGGAGGCCGTGGGGGGTCAGCTCCCTGCAGGAAAGACTTCATGTACCTCAGCATCTGGAGGCAGGAGTGAGTGACTGTCAAGTGCAAAGGAAGGCAAGGGTAAACCAGACAGAGCGCCACTGTCTGCAAGGCATGAGGCATAGAACACCCTGGAATTTTCTCTGAGCAGCAAATAACTGTTTGAGCCCTGATGCATGCTGAGGGCTGTGTGCTGGGGTAGGTGAGGCTGGAGTAGCTAGGTAGCCGGCCCACTCAGGGCCACTCTGGAATGCGGTGTGCATTGGTTAGACTTCATTAGGAAAGCAGTGAGGAATTGATGGAAAGGTCTGGAAGTAGGGCCAATGCCAACTGGCTTTCAGTACTGACCCTCTGGAGGCAGTGGGGCAGATGGGTTGGAGTAGAATGTTGTTAAACTCTGCTGAAGGACACAAGACAATAGTGAACATAGAGGAATTATAGTGCTTTGCAGAGTGTGGCCTGTGGAGCGGTGCGCATATGTTAGAGTCACCTAGGGTGCTTGTTTAAATGCAAGTCCCCAGGGGCGCCTGGGGGTTCAGTCGGTTAAGTGTCCCAACCGTTGGTTTCAGCGCAGGTCATGATCTCAGGGTCACAGGATCGAGCCCCATGTCGGGGTCCATGCTCAGTGCAGAGTCTGCTTGAGATTCTCCCCCAACTTGCATGCCTGCACGCACTCTCGCTTTCTCTCTCTCTCTCAAATAAATAAAATCTTTAAAAAAGACAAAAAAAAAACGCAAGTCCCCAAACCCCATCCCTCCCTTGCTGCCCCAGGCTTTCTAGGAGAGGGGTACTAGAATTTGCCATCTGAACTTTGAGACCCCCTGACCTTTTATGCAATTGACCCTTGAACCTTGGGGCTTAAGGGTGCTGACCCCCTACACAGTCAAAAATCCATGTTTACCCATGTTTACCTTTTGATTCTCCAAAAACTTAGCTACCTACTGTAGTTAAGTAGGTACTTAACAGCCTACTGTTCACTGGGAGCCTTAACAGGATAACGTAAACAGTTGACTAACACCTATTTTATATGTTACATGTATTCTATATCGTCTGTCTACAATAGAGTAAAGAAAACGTTACTGCAAAAATCAGAAGGAAGAGAAAATACAGATTATGTTTATCATCTCAAACCCGGTCAACTGTATAATTAAGAGTGGATAGCGGGGACTTACGTTACCTCCTCACTTAATTTAGTCCACTTACCTGAATGAACTTGGGGCCCAGAAAGTAGGGGGACAAGGTGAGTGGGTCAGGCAAGACTTGACAGAGGGCACGGTGTGTGCCCAGCTCCAGAGACAGGAACGGGTGTGTCATGTGCAGCCACCCCAGGCCCAACATTGAGCAGCTCACTGAAGAGAAGAAGCAGTTCATTAACTGTTGCTGCTTTTCTTCTTTCACCCTGTAGAGCAGCCTTCCAAACGCAGAAAGGTGGAGAACAGCACTCCTCCAGCCGGGGAAGCACAGGACCTAGAGGCAGAAACAGGACTCTTTGGGAAGAGTGCGCCTGTAGACGTTGACGCCCCCTCCAAGCAGAAGGAGAGGGCAGCTGCCCTCAAGAGGGACGTGCCCAAGGTGCCCCACGACAGCAGCAAGGACAGCATCACCGTCTTCGTCAGCAACCTGCCCTACAGCATGGGAGAGCCGGATGTGAAGCTCCGGCCGCTCTTTGAGGCCTGTGGGGAGGTGGCAGATATCCGCCCCATCTTCAGCAACCGGGGCGATTTCCGAGGCTACTGCTATGTGGAGTTTAAAGAGGAGAAGTCGGCCCTGCAGGCGCTGCAGTTGGACCGGAAGACTGTAGAAGGGAGGCCGATGTTTGTTTCCCCCTGTGTGGATAAGAGCAAAAATCCCGATTTCAAGGTGGGTCTGTGCAGAAAACGCCTTTCATGTCGGGTTCTTGAATGCTTTTTGCCTGCAGCAACTAACATTTAGAATCTACATGGAATATCTGTAGTCTGTTAAGAACTAGACTCACACGTTAACCAGGGCCTATTCTGAGCTGGGTAGGTGAGGTCCTGACTCAGGGCTTGGTCACTTTGAGCTCGCCCTCGTTGACAAGTGATGAGAAAATTAGAAATTACAATGATGGCTACTTGCCACTGAATGTTGAGGGAGTGGCAAGGGGTCATGCAGAGTATTTACTATATTACCTTGTCAGATCCTCACCCTAACTCTGAGAATAGCGGCTTTCATCCCTGCCATGTTCCGGGGCAGGAAGGGGGCGCTTTGAGAGGTTAAGTGACTTACCCAGGGTGACCTGTTAACAGTTGCAGCACCCAAAGTTGGCTCTGGTCTCTGGCTGGGGTGAGGCCTGTGGCCGAGCCTGGTACCGGCTGTAGTATGGTGCGCTGGGTTGGGCACGGGAGTTTGACTGTTTCCCTCCCTTCTTCCTGTAGGTGTTTAGGTACAGCACTGCCCTGGAGAAACACAAGCTGTTTGTATCAGGCCTGCCTTTTTCCTGCACTAAAGAAGAACTAGAAGAGATCTGTAAGGCTCATGGCACTGTGAAGGACATCAGGCTGGTTACCAACCGGGCAGGCAAACCGAAGGTCAGCGTCTGCGCAGACGGTGTCAGCCTCCTGAGGCTCGGGCAAACCTAGTTCTCCATCTGTTCAGATTATTAGGTTCTGAGTGGGTTCCTCGTTTGCTGAGAAACAAGTTAACAACACTAGGGACACTTGGCTCTACGTGCATTTGGAGTCAGATTAACCTGTTTCTAATTATACTAAAAATAATAGGGCATTGGGGGAAAGAAAACTTCCCACGAATTAGCAGGGGCCACAGTGCAGACCGCTAGCTGTGTGCACCCTCCTGCCCAGCGCCTCTTCACTAGGCCTCCAGGCACCTCCTCTAATCCGAGACCCCGTCACATCCTCCCGCTAGCTCCCCTCAGTGTCCTGCGAGATCCTTTTCGTACCACATTCTGAGTAGTTGTTTAGGCACGAGTTTGGGTTACCTGTCTTTCCCCCAGCCCTCCGGGTTGATGGGGAGTTGAAGAGCATGAAGTAAGGAGGGGCCAGGGCCCAGACATGAGGGCTCACCCTGTGTCCAGCCGCCTCATTCATTTGCTCTTGCTGGATTTATACTGGTCTGTCTGTCCCCCTTCCCCTCCCTCCCTCCCTATCTTTTCTTCCTTTTCCTTTTTTTTTTTTGAGCAAGCACAAGGTACGCTGACCTCACAAAGGTTATGTGAAGTTACAGTCAGTTGCAGAAACAGGAAGAGTAGGGCCAGTGCATAAACCTATAGCCAAAGGATGGTGGTGATGGGGAAGGGAACCTGATGTTGGGGTGCCTGCCCGGTACTGGCTTCTGGACTGAGGCAGGAAGTTGGGTCTTGGCTGGGCCGCACCTGATCCGGCTCTGGATCTTGCCTCTTACAGGGCCTGGCCTATGTGGAGTATGAAAATGAGTCCCAGGCATCACAGGCTGTACTGAAGATGGATGGCATGACTATCAAAGACAATGTCATCAAAGTGGCCATCAGCAATCCCCCTCAGAGGAAGGTTCCAGAGAAGCCAGAGGCAAGGAAAGCTCCAGGTGGCGCCATGGTGCCTCGGCAGATTTACGGAGCGTAAGTGTGTGCATGCTGCCCTGCCCAAACTCGGCCCCGGCCAGCACCGTGGTGGATTCGTGTCCTGCTAGTGCAGCGAGCTGGGGCGGGAAGCCAGGGCTTGCTGTTCCTGGGGATGCTCACTGTCATTCCCCAGAGCAGCTCCACGCAGAGTGCAAGCCCGGAAGTGCAGCTCTTCCTGGTGTTTGCCAGTTTACACATGATTTATCTGAGGTCAGTTGGTTTCTAGGCAATGAGTATATTAAAGTCTTTGGCAGTAGAATCCTTACGTGTGGATTCAGAACCTGACAACCATATGCTTGCCGGGGTAGTCTACACTCCGGCTATAATCAGAAGAGCTAGCTTTTCACCTGGTAGGAAGGAGACTGCAAAATCGTGAGGTGGTTTGGTAAGGTCTGAAAGAGGATAGCATTTTTATCCACCCTACATGTAACTGTTGCACAGGTTGGTCTTTGCCAAGATTGTGAAAACAGCAGTTTGTTGAACTGGTTTTTGCATATTAGAGTCACAGAGAACAGGGATCATCTCCCTTTTCTGGTTTTTACTCTTCACCTATTAACTTGGTGCTCTACACATTTCGAGAAACTTCTCTACTAACAAACTACAGAAATGAGCCCGGAAAGTATGGTCTTCACTTTGTAACTTTGGGTGACTGAAGACCATCCTGGCTTATTTTCTCAAATAAAGCAGGGGCCGCGAATGGTTGCTTTGCAAGCGTACATCCAGTGTTTGCTCTTCCAGGCGGGGGAAGGGGAGAACCCAGCTCTCGCTGCTGCCTCGTGCCCTGCAGCGCCCGAGTGAGACAGCCGTCCAGGCCGAGAACGGCCCTGCCCCACCGCCGGCGGTCACCGCCTCAGCAGCCACCGAGGCACCCAAGATGTCCAATGCTGATTTTGCCAAGTTGCTTCTGAGAAAGTGAACGTGACTCCTTAGAGGGGAAATGCCTTACTGCACACTGGCCAGGAAGAGCACCCGGCCCCCAGCTATACTCTGGGTATGGAAGGGCCCGGGGCAGCACCCCTCCTACGCATTTTCCTCGGGGTTAGAAAGGGATGAGGGTGTCCAAGGAAAGAGGCTTGAAGCACTCCCTCATATTGAGGGCAATAGGAGGAAAATGATCACTCCATGGGTTGGGCCCAGTGTGTAGTTTCTTAAGCTATTTTTGTGTCTTACAGAGTGAGAAACGGAAGTGAAATTCAAACACACCGTTTTGAGACCCACTTGTCCCAGTGTTTTCGGCCATCTGACTCCCTTTTATAAGACACTTCTCTTACAGCCTGCACAGCTCATGTGCCCGTCACTCTTTTAATTTTAAAAGACAAAATGGCAGATGCTAGTAATTCACCAGAATGGCCTATTTTAGTAAAGGGGTGGTGGGGATAGGGGAAATCACATAAAAAACATTTGATGGATTTTTGTTCAAGGGGGGGGCTGTGCGTTTTTATATTATGTATTTGTAAATCCCACATCAATCCATTGTTTTATGTTTCCTAAAAGCAAAATATTTGTGACCTTTGTTTTATATGGGAGTTCTGTGTGCCACCTGCTGTGGACCATTTTCTTTGCCTAGTGATTAGTGAACCGTGTTCTTTGTCTAAATATTGAGTTTCAGCCCTTTGGTTTTGTTTAAATACCATGTCAAGTACAAACTTAAATTCTCCCCACTTAGCTTTGTTTATTAAACTGAAGTTCTCTTCAAAACTTCTTGCTGAATGGTAGTCAGATGTGCATTCAAACATGGATGTATTTTGAAAATGGGTGCACTTGTCTTACCTAACAGATGTGTAAATAGACCTTTTGTAAGTCAAATCCTGTTGTCCCTTTGATTTAAATCATTTCAGTTGTGATGGGTCTTCTTCAGTTCTAAACTTCACTTTGCTGCATTTTGGCCCTTCAACTTCTAGGCTTTTTTTTTTTTTTACATCTCATCTCTTATCAAATATTTAAAAAGCCATGTTGCCAGTTCAGTAGGGAAAAGGACTTTTTTATAAAGACACTCTGGGGGAAGAAATTAGGAAATGCTTTCATGCGTGCTAGAAATCAACCCACTTCAATTGGTTTTTAAGTTTTTGTGCATCAGGCTTTACTACATTTTTAATGGGAAATTGGAAGTGTCATCCAAAAGTGTTGACAAAAGAGCAAAAGGACCTCATGTGCCTGTCCTTGAGCTTCAGCATCCCTCTCTAGCACAGGGGGCCTTCATCTCTGCCGCCCCTGCCCTCCCTGTTACATCGTGGCCTGTGTCAGACATGGCGGCAGCACCCCCCCCCCACCAGGGGACTGCAGCGAGTGCCTCCAAGAGACAAGGCCCCCCAGGCCACAGTTTTATCATTACTCCTAGAAACACGACCAACAATGCCTTCAAGTCCTCAACTATCCAAATTCCTCGTTTCCTGTTGTTTTGTAAGTGCATCCCCCCTCGCCCAGGAGGTTAGGATCGGTTGATAAACCTCTGAAGTCTTTTAATCTGATGGGTCCCGTCTACCTTGTCTCTTTTTCACAAAACATTTTTTGTTAGGTGTTAGTTGTGAATTAAATTCACGTAGTGGCCAGAAGAAGTGTGCTGTATGTAACCCTGGTCCCTCCTGTGTTCTTTGGAATGGGCACTTCCCCCCGCCCCTGTAAGCCTGTTGGTTGGGCGAGCAGACTAGGGACAAGCAGGGACTGCCACCGAGGAACCCCGAGTATCTCCTCACCCATCCAGGCTGACGTGGCTTGCTTCCTGCTGCTGCACGTTTCACCGTCCCTCTCTCAGTGTTGGCCAGTCTTCTGCCCTCACTTCATGCTTTCTCGTGTCAACACAGGCTCATTACAGAACTGAACCCGCTCGGACTTGAGCTCAGGGTGTGGACGGTCCTAGAGACGGACTGTCAGGAACATGTGAGTGGGTTTATGTGTTTTCCCCAGGAAATCAAGAACTGCTGGTAAAGAGAAGCACGAATCACCATTTGCGTTACTGGCGTGTTAGTGGAAGACAGTGCTTCAGGCCCACCAGCGCAGGTAGGTAGCTTACCCCCACAGTCCCGTCTCACCTCCCTCTCGAAACGAGCGCCTCATACCATAGTACAAACGGGGCTTAACGTTCCGAAAGGATTCCTCCTTCATCCTTGTGACAGATGGGAACATCGTTTGAATAAGACAGCGAAGTCTCAGTCCTTTATGTAATAAAATACTTTATTAGAGTCAGTAATCTATTAAAATAACATCCTTCACAACAGAGCTTAAAGTGCACGTTTCTCTCTCGTACAAAGCACGCACTTCTGTCAGGCTTCCTCAGTGTGCTTATAAAACCAAGACGAAAGAAGAGTTCAGGGGCAGAGAGCCCTCATGGCAGCATACGAATATGCAAATATTTTTTTATAAAGGTTTGAATAACTATCCCTCGGGGCCTCTTCACAAAGATTTCTTAATCTTTCAGAAAGCTACTCTGTGCCTATTACACAGTTAAATAACTATAGAAACATCTACCTCAGAAGAGTGACCTCCTTCCTGTCAGGGTATGACTTCCCAAGTCAGAGACTACACTTTGTATGTGTTCACCACCATTCTGACCCTGACAAAGTGCACGACAGCGCTGGACGTCCTGGGCCCCGTCACTGGGAAAGGAACCCGTGGCCCTTTGGACTCTGAGCAGCACAGCGGCGGTCATGGCGGCACCTGGGCTGACATGCTATTGATAGAGAAGAGTCTTCTTCCATAGAATGAAGACTTGGAAACTTGGCCGTATCACATAGGACATTTTATCATTTTACAAGATGCCAGAAAAATAAGGCCAGTCCAAGGCAATCTCTTCTGCTTCCCCGAGGGGACGCGGGACAGTACAAGGGCTGGGGGAGGTGGGGGTCAAGTCAGTAAGTGGAGAAGACTGCGTGACAAACGGGGCACATCCTGCCTGGCTGAAAGGTTTTCCTTGGTTTGGTAGAAACTCCCTCTAATTCATTATCAAAAATGCTAATTTGGTGTTGACGTGGCAACTTTTTTCTCAGATGTGTTCTTGAATATCTGCCTACACGAGACGTTCAACTCCAGAGTCGGGGGTGAGGGCAGACTCGGCTACTTGCACAATACCTGATTTGCAGTAGGATTCAGTTGCGTGACAAACCCAGAGAACTTGTAGACTAAAACATCTGGTCTGAGTTGCTGCACACGAAGTGCGAGAAACATTTCATACACAGAAAATCAAGCTGGCCACTCCCCTATTCTCTTAGTTAGAAAAACAGTCTTGATAAGGGGACATAACAGCCTTTGGCACTAGAGTTTGCGAGCTAACTATGACTTAAGGACTTCCTTGAAATGAGAAAGGTATCTACCTAGAAATGTCAACATTAATTTTATTTCATCTCTCAGAAGTTTGCTCTACCAGTGAGAATTAGTCACACCGCCAGCCTCTTTGTAGAAGCAAGCTTTCAGTCATTTCTCAAAGCCGGGACCAGGTTCTCCCCAAGAGTACTGACCTCTCAGGTCAAGTCACAGGACACCTGGAGGAGTTCCTCCTATGGCTTTTGGACCTCCTTCCACACTTCTGGCCTCTTCCCACCTGAGTGCAAATTCTGCTCCAGAACCTGTGTTCTGGTCACACACAGCACTGATGCTCCCAAAGCCTCCCTCCTTAGGGACACCAGTGCAGACAGCAGACGCCACACAACATTTAGTAGCCCCAAAGAAGAAAATAAATAATAACTTGGGCTGAATTATAAGTTACCTTAGAGATAAGGCTTAATAATTTAGGTGTTTGTTTTTTTTTTTTAACTAAAACATTTGGAGGTAAAGAACGTTTAAGTTCCTTTTCTGTCTCCTTTTGCTTTAGGAGACAACTAGGTTTCTAGAAATGCTAAGGGTTTCCCCTCCTTGGGACATCCCTTGTCACCAAGGGAGGATTTCCAGGCTTAGGGCTTCACAGGCAGTGTCTCCTTAAACCCGGAGTGGTTGGGTTTGGCCTCGGGCAGTGCCACCGGGTACTCGGTTGTGGCAAAGAGCAGGGTGTCCAGAGTGGTCTCCGTACACTTGGCGATGAAGCGGATGAACGGCCTCACGTCACCTTCATTGGCGACCTCCAGTACATGGTAGTACTCGGACCTCTGCTCCTTGCGGATGGTGATGGGTGGGTAGCCCGCCTGCATCAGGATGAGGTTCATCAGCAGGCGCGAGGTCCTTCCGTTGCCATCGATGAAAGGGTGGATGTAAACCAATTTATAATGGGCCAAGGCCGCAAACTCCACTGGGTGCAGATTCATGGCGTCCTCGGAGTTGAGCCACTGGATGAACTCCTGCATCTGCTTTTCCACATCTTGAGGATGGGGAGGGATGTGGTGTCCCACGAGGACCTGTGTCGTCCGAAACCTGCCAGCTTCCACTGGATCCACGTAACCCAGCACCCGCCTATGGATCTCCAACACGTCGCTGATGGTGACAGACCCGATGCGGGAGACTAGCGTTGTGTTGATGTACGTCATTGCTGCGTGCATGCCGATAACCTCGTTCTGCTCCTCCAGGCTTTTCCCTGGCACGGCGTAGCGGGTCTCCAGGATGTGCCTGATTTCCGAGAGGGTGAGGGTGTTGCCCTCGATCGCGACTGTGTGGTAGATGTGATGGTAGTAGGTTTCCTCCATGACTCTGCGCAGCGCAGAGTTGCCCTTGGGGATGGACATGACCTTCTTCACTTTGCTGTCGATGATGCTAAAATACCTCTGGTCGATCTCCTCGACCAGCGGCAGCGTCCGGTCCCGGTTGACCAGCGCTTTCTCATGGTAGGGCGAGATGGTCAACGCTCTGGTGTATAAGTAATCCGCCTGGATGATGTCCTTGTCCTCTTCTGAAAAGATGCCAAACTCGTTGAGTGCATCCACGAAGTCTGGGTCCATTTTGAGGGCGTGCAGGAAGAGCTTGTGGGCTTTCTCCCGCTTGCCTTGGCGTTTCATCTCCAGGGCTTGGTTCAGAGCTGCTTTGGCTTCCAACTTACCAGCTAGAAAAGAGCCAGAGAAGCGTTGGCAGGAGAGTGGGAAGGGCAAAGGATGTTCAGGACAGCTGTCCCCTGTGCTGGCCCTTCAGGGGGGCTCGTTCTAGTCCCTCTGCTCACTCTACACTATGGATGCATTTGTGCCCCGCAGCTGGTTTTTGTCTGTGTGTCCCCAGAGCCATTCTCTGTACCCTGGAAGTACCACCTGGACTCCCTGGCCCCCTGCCTTCTGAGTGCCCGAGTGAGTGGCTGCGGCCGCAGCTCCTGTTAGGTGGCTCTCCCACATTCTCAGTTCTCTGCTGTCCTGGTTCAGTCCCGGTGATGCTGGCTCTGGCCCCTGTCCCTTCAGGCCCAGGCTGGTAACAGTTCCCCCCACTGGTGCTAGGCTCCGGAGGATTCCCCATCCCTGGGCTGTTCTTTAAATCTTTTAACCCAGTGGTTCTCAACCAGGGGTGATTTTTGTTCCCCCCCCCCCCAGGCGACAGTTGGCAGTGTCTGAAGACATGTTGCTTGTCGCGGGGGGTGGAGGGGTGGGGTGCTACTGGCATCCAGTGGGTACAGCCCAAGGATGCTGCTCAGTATCCTACAGTGCACCCCAGAGGACAGTGCGGAGGGAGAGAAACTGCTCTAGATCTAGCCCTCCCTCATCAGCCCCTCCACCCACACACGGGGCTGCTTTTCGTCACATGCGCAGGCTCTCTCATCCTCTGGTTTCTGCCTGGTGCACTTGCCTCTCATGCCTTTTCCTTTGGGTCATTTTCCTATTTACACTGGGGTCTCAGCTCAGGCATTCCCTCCAGGGAGCCCGCCAGGTGTGCCCGGTTTCCCACCACCATGCTGGTGATGCTGTTAT